ATTCAGTGATCTCATTTTTTATGTTTTATTCGGTGATCTTTTCTTATGGTATTTATTGGATCGAATTTCTAAGCTTGGTGAATACACTCAAACACACAACATCTACATAAACTCAGGCTATGCGATCCATTTTTCAAATGTGTGGGGTGTGAACCGAAGATTATGCACCAGCTACATGGTTTAAGTCATGACACCATCTCAGTTTGAAGGCACCCCCCTCACATGAATGACATAGGCACAACATATAGATGTACCAAGGGTCTCCCTTGCACAAGCACGCTTCTTTTATTATGTGACACCATGAGCGTATATATGGGCTAGCTGCAACAACGGCGTAGTTGGTGGTATGGGTTTGTGTCAGTTTGATACCCATGCTCATAGTCATAGGATTCTGAACCCTAGTGTTGTCATTACGGATATAAAGACTTGTGCTTTTCCATCCGGTAGAATGTATGGCAGTGACACCACAACAAGGCTAACCCATTAACCTCTATCACACCTTGACCCGCAACATGTCCACGGGGTTTCCACACTCATGTCCTGGCTAGGACACCGTATCATAATCAACTAGGGCTGCTCAAAAGGATGAGCATCCCATGCTGGGTGTTGTTGTACTCCGCTGGCATCAAAATTGAGGTGTCTGTGCTTATTAATAAAGACTGTAATTGCATCCTTTTATTTCTCGCAATTAGGCCTTACAGACATACAATTTCTAAAGTCTCCCACTTGGACTTAACGACGTTTATCCGTAACACAAAAATATAAAAATGTACATATACGAGGAGTACTAAAAATATGGCTAAAAAGGTTGGAGTCCCATCTTGCTTGGATGTGCCTTTTAGGCACTATCCAATATGCCCTCAATGGGGGAATCGACAATTTGATCGATAGTCTTTACATATAAAATTATGATATCTCCAACTTGTGCCATAGAATTGTGAAATGTATTGCCGACCAATATGGTTGGACTTCTTATGGAATCTTTGATACTCAATTAATTGGACTGCAGCTTGGTTGTCTCAAAAATCAAAATATCGTAGCTGGTCCTTTCATCTGGGTGTCTGTAACAATCCTTGGTGATATGGTTGAAACCAATGCGTCTCCTTACCGCCCTCATTAAGGGCTATATGTTTGGCCCCTAATGTTGAGAGTACCATGCAGTCCTGCTTGTTAGAAGCCCATCAGATCACTCCTTGGTTCAAGTTGAAGGTGCCAGTTGTGGAATCATACTCTATTGGTATCACCTTGCCAATCCACATAATAAAAACCTTAAAGTAGAAGACTGCCAGCCTGATTAAATAAAGTGTAGTTTATAATTCCACGGAATTATGAATGTACACTTGACTGCTTGCAATGTATTTGACCCTGGTTTTGTTTGGAATCTAGAGACCAAACTGACTGCGAAATATTTATATGGGCGAGTGCATAGCATCGCATACAATAGAGAGCCAACAACACTCCTATGTCGTACAAACTCCATCTTTGGACATTCCATTGCTGTTGAAGATCCCTTTCCCTTTTTGGTAGGTGTTCCAATGGGTGTGCAATTCTTCATATCAAATCTATCCAAGACCTCTTCACAGTGGGCTTGTTGTCGCAAGCCAATAAATCTCTTTGATCGGCCGCAAATGATTTCTATGCCAAAGACAGTTTTTCATGGCAAATTGAGAGGATAGCGATCTTCCATTTCTTTAACCATTCACATAACATTACCTGCGATTGAATCATTGAAATGCTATCAACATACAATGCCTTATAAATAACATGGCTACCATGTACTTCGACATAAATGCAATTATCTTGCTCATTTGCCTTGAACCCAAAAGAATTGGCAGCTTCAGGGAATTTCAGGTATCGCTATCTAGTTCTAGGCCATAGATAGATCTCTTGGGTTTGCTTGCACGCTTTGTCTTCTAAACCCTTAGGGATAAGTTCTTCTTGCTGAGGCATATAGATGTCCTCATCAAGGTCGGTCTTACATTTGGTGTAAGTTCCAAGTCTAGTTGTTTCACCATGCTCATAATGATGTGAATAGGAGTAAACTTAGTCACTGGTGCAAAACTTTTCCTCATAATCTATACCTTCTCGCTGTGCATATCCTTTTGCTACAAGGCGTACTGTATATTTTTCAATCTTTCTTTCAGACTTTGATTATTTTTTGAAGATCCATTGGATCACATTAGGAGGTAATCAATCAAATTCCAAACATTGTTGAGCGTCATTGGAGCATTCCCTCCTTCATGATTCCTAGCCCCTAATCTCTATTTGGGGAAGTCAATGCCTTACAATATCTCAAGGGGTCCTCGCTCACATCCTCTTTTTGACATTGCTCTATGATGAAGGTGAAGTACTCGGAGGTCGACTAATGCGAGAACTATGCTTTGGCAAAGGTTGATGCACACTCTACACTGGGAGTTCAAGGTTTTTGGTATTGGTTCATGATTTTCAATCATGGATCATTGTGCATTATGATTATCACTATGTTATAACTCAGGCGTTTCATTATCTAGGCTCCCACTGTCCTTACATCTACAAACGGATCCTCAATAAGTTTGCATGAATTGACTTTATGGTCACTCTTTAGACATGATTGAAGAATTAACACCCAGTCCCATGATCACTGTATCCTATAAAACTGCATACTCTGGGTTTATGGTGTTTCTTTGTTGATGTGAGCTTACAACACCAAACTCAAGATTTTATATGGAGGGTTTGCGTTGAACAAATCATGAGGGACGATGCAATTGATTTTGATGGGGTCTTAGTAAAAGGTGCCTCAACTAGAAATATTTAGGAGCTGAGCATGGGCAATCATACTGCGTATCATATTCTCTCCGCTACTAAATTTTGGTTAGGATTATATGACTTGGTCGTTTGGTGAATGACTCCATTGTTCTTGAGATATTAAGCAAATTTGTTTCACTCTCAAACTGACCCCCTTATCAGTTTACAACACTTCGATTTCATTTCTAGTTTTCTTCTCAACCTAAAGTCTTCTATATTTGAAAATTTTAGAAATTCATACATTTCCATTAAAAGATAAACGTGGCCATACTCAGGAAAGTTATCAATAAAACCTCTGAAATACCTGTCTTGTTTATTCATGCTTGCGTTCATCGGCCCACAAAAATCTGAATGCACATTTTTTTGAACAATCTTTGCCTTTTTTTTACATTTTTAGGAAAAGGTGTTTATTGAATTTTCTTTTTAAACATGATTCACGTAATTTAAAAACTAGACTTGGAACTTGGTTAAGAATAGCCATGGATTTCAATCGATATGTTCTTGCAAACTGATAGGGCTAGTCCAGAAAGCCATAAACTTGCTCAAACATATACTTGGAGTTTGAGATTTCATTGATATAATCAACTGGGCACAAACCATCAACTGAAGTGCCCAAGGCATTGCTTAGACTTTATGATGACCTTTCCATTTCCAGAAAATGGTCACGCAATTGGCCTTACCAAGACTTAGGCACAATATTCAGAGACTTTCTCATGCTTGGGTAATAAAAAGTTTTCTTTAGCCAAACACATTTGACCTCATCTATCTTCAGCATGTATTCATCAATTCCAAGGAATTCAGATTTATCATTATCATTGCTCGAAAATTCGGCTAGGCGGCCAGGCAGCCAAAATGCCTAGGCAGGCGCCTTGGAACAACTTGGCTGAGGGTGGGAAAGGGCCCTCAGCCAAGGGCAAAAATTTACGCCCCCCCTTCCATTGAAAGGGGGAGAAGTTGGGGTTGGGGGGGGTGGAATCTAGCCCCCCCAACGCCCCCAAAAGCCACAAGTTACCTTAACTTATTAAGGAGGCTTACAAGTTTTGGGAATATATCACTGATTTTTGGATTCCCTAATGGAAACTAATGGTTAATTGGGAGCAATTAATGGTTAATTTGAGTAATTGAGTTGTGATTTCCATTGATTATTTAAAAAATGTCTTCTTTTATTCTTTGAACCTGATTTTGAAGTGATGGGACCAGTCTCGATGACATGTGGTACTAAATGTGCAAGAGACACTCACAAATTTGGGTTAGTAACATGTTTTGGTTAGATGGGAGATTAATTATAAGAAAATTAGGAAATTTGGCTAAACCCCACAAAACATTATAAGATATTTGACTACAGATCAGTGCAAAGTTTGACTCCCCTCCTGTCCCAACACCAACAGAAAAAAAGGGGGTTCTTTATTAGTTAAATCAGTAAATTAGTAATTTCTGGTTGAGGACTTTGCTTTTCATTTTAGAACTAGAAAAAAGATAATCCTTAGTAGAATGCCGTGCTATACATGAAGCAGTACTGGGGAAGCTGATTTCATCAATCTGCAGGCAACTTGTGTTTTTTTTTTTTTTGTCTCTCCAAACCTGTATCCTTTACATGAATGCTATGCCATACCCCTTTTAAATATGGCCATCATTTTTATGAGCATTTTCAAACAGAGTTTGCAAATAACAAGAAAATTGCACTTGGATTGGGCTGTGTCTACGAGGAATGTAGTCACTTACTTCTATATTCACCATGTAATTCCTAGAAATGCCATTGTTTGTGGTGAGCCTTTTTGTTGCTGTTAGAATGATTCAGATCTTCAGTGTGCTTAGAAGATTGCGGTTCTGTTTGATTGTGTTGAATTGGGTTTAGTTTTGAGGAGAATTCGTTATATCTGTTTTTACTCTGGTACTTAATATTATTAGGTGGATCTAACTTAGCATTCTTATCTTATTTGCTTTTGAGTTTTATTATTTATTTACTAAGTACATTCATGATAAGATGTGGCTATGTTTTATGCTGGTTGCCTACCTAACACGACCACCCCCTTTACCTGGCCTTGGGATGGGTTAAGGAAACGTTTAAGGTCCTCCTTCCCCTTATTAGATTAAATAATTGGGATAAGGCTTGGATGGTGATGGTGATGATTTACTAAGTACATTATTTGCATTTTGTGGGTACCACATGTTTATTGCACAAATTTGACCTAATGGCTTTGGTTTGTCTTACACAGAGAGAGTTTATATGAAGATGAAGAATTTGATCAAAGACAACTTGCTGCTTTGGTTGTTTCAAAGGTCGCTACTGACTTTGCTCTTTTATTTTGGAATTAGACCAACAAAGACTCATAGTGATCTTTATTGCTTTTGATCAGTCTTTCAGACAACTTAAAATGTGTCTTTTACTTATTGTCTACAATTCCTCGTGATGATGCAATCTCGTTTGCTCGTTGTATCTGGCTGCAATAGTTCATGCAAATTTTCAGATAATTAATTCTAATAGCTGAAAAAAGAAATAGAATAGCTGAAAAAACAATCAAGGGAATTGGGTTCTAAGTGGATTACAAACTGAAAGCTCAATGACTGGGTCCCCTTGTCCAGTCCACAATATGTTGACTGCTCCCTGAATTGAGCCACTGTCTTTTTGCCCATCCTTTGATTTATAATGTCACCCCTACCCCTCCCAACCTCTCTTGCATCTGTTTTTCATAAAAATGCCAAAACCCTCTTTCCTATTCTTCACCTAGCCTCCTGAACCATTTCTTTCCCTGCCAAATTGATATCTCTATAAGATTCATGTATTTTCTTATAATTTCAACCATTCCCTTTTTTGCTTCCCTGACCTGTGTCCCTTCTTCATGCAGCCTTCCTTATGGAACATGGTAAGCTGTGAACCTCTTCCTGTCTCTTATGCACTATGTGTTTCAATTTGGTGAAATCCTGTTGTATCATTCTTTTTCATTATTTATTTGCTAATCTCTCCTACTCCAAACCTCTTGTCCTAAGCTCCACACCCTTGCCTACTTGTCTCACCATTCATTCTCTTTACCTTTGATACTTATGTCCTTTGAAGTTGTTCTCCATATCTTTCAATCTGATCTTGTTTTTTGCCACATTTTCTGTCACCTGATTATCATGTGGCGCTTTTATCTGGCTTTGCTCTTTTGCTGTGTGTTGTCATTGCTTCTCTCTTATGTTGAGAGGAAGGGAGGTTTTGATCATCCATGATATATATATATATATATATATATATATATGTTATT